GGCGGTAGCAAAGCAGATGAAAAATTCCGTCAGTCGTTATTAAACCTTTATTCATAAGCCCTAGCCGGTTTTCATCCCCCCCCCCCCCCCAACACCTACAATCCAATGTGCCCTCCTCAGCAAGCCTCCTCGACCACTCGGCAAGATCGCCCACTACGCCCTCGACGAGCTCGGCACTCACAGTCTTCTCCTGCACGTCATGGTCCCCGAAATCTCTCCGCCCACGACCCCCGCGAGATTCAGCGTCATCGCCGGCCCCGACATGAGCGCCGACTGCGCGAACACGGCCCGCGTGATGCCCCACCCGTTGTCGCCCACGGCCTTGAGGGCACCGAGGTTGCTGACCTCCCACGTCCAGTCGTGGGGCTTGCCGTCGGCTTGGCGCAGGTAGGCATGCCAGTCGCCGACCCATTTGAGCAGGCCCGTAACGTCGTCGCGGGGCAGGGACGCAATCTTGTCGTGGAAGGAGGTGGCAATGGCCGACGCAGCTTGCCAGACGAGCGAGTCGAGGTCGGAGCCGTGGCGGGCGCGGAACTGCGAAGTCATGGCAGCCGTGTCAGGGTGGATGAGAGAGGTGACGAGGACGGCCATTTGCGAGGACGTGTCGAGGACGGCGGGATCGACGAGGCGCCGCGCGCTGATGGAAGAGCCGTGGACGAACTTGGGGGCCGTAGTGGCGGGCAGGCGGCGGGCAAAGGAGAGGAGGGCCAGGGCGTGGTAGAGCGGTGTCAGAGTCGTCGCGTTGGCGCGGGCGGCGGCGAGGAGGGCCGAGGATGTCGCGGCGGGCAGGGTGAAGAGGCAAACGTTGGTCTGAAAGGAATTGGCCAGATTGACGTGATTGCCGGTCCAGGGGACGGGGTTCGGCTTTGCTTTGAGGAAGTCGGGACCGAAGGCTTTCCAGAGGGTTCGCAGGAAAAAGGGCCAGCTGATGGAGAATTTGATGAGCTCTTCCTGGGGCGGCGGCAGGACAGCAGGTTCGGAGAGGGTGAGAAGGCCGGCTGAGGATAGAGAAGGAACGGGTGCCGGCTTGGAAAGAGCTTCAAGGAGCTGTTTGTGGAAGATGGCGGAGCTGGTACCGTCGCCAATGGCGTGATGAAAGGTGTACACAATGTCGAGGGCAGTGAGATGCCCATCACGCGCATTCACAGGTACGGCGGTGACCTTCCATGGCGGGCGCGTGTCGAGGTCAGGCCAGCGGGTGCCCAACTGCACGGCAAGCTGCTTTTCGAGCATGGCATCGGCCGAGGCCACTTCAATCGGTTCGAGCCATCGAATCTGGGCGGAGAGATCGATGACAGCGACGTGAACAAAATTCGGCTGCTTCGAGTCTTCGCCGGTGATGCCGACACGCATAAACGGCTGCTTCAAGACAACTTGGGCCACGGCTTGCTCAATGGCGGGACGCAGAGCCTTGGTGTTGCCAAGTTCGGAAGGCACATGATAGCGACAGGTGGTCGACACAGCAAAGTAGATGCCCAATGAATGTCTCGAGGTGGAATACTGTTCCCTGTTTGTGTGTCAGGAGTGGGAAGGGGGAAGGGCCTGGTTGTGAAGAGACTCACAGCTGGCCACAAGGCCTTACTACAATCTGACCGGCCATTATGGGTTGCTTGGAGCAGAGCGAGGTTCCAAGGAAACAAGCAAGTCAGTCGCTTGCGCAAGCGGCAGAGAAATGCGTAGGGCTGAGCGCGTGGTCGGGGGTTCTTAACAGTCCGCCAAACCAAAGCCTCAGCCACGACGTTGACGAAGGTGCAGGACCCAGATCCCAGATCCCAGACCCCAGATCCCAGATCCCAGACCAGAGACCTTGCACGCACGGGAATCGGGCAAGGGGCATGCCGACGGGCTGCTGGCGACATGTGGGGCCCATGAGAGACTGGGCTCCGAGAACGCCGGACGGGTGATCATGACTAGAGAAAGAATGTGGTCGCAGTTGGTGTTGAATGCAACGAGTTTGTATTGTTCTTGGAGCTAGATACGATTGTTTTCTGGTGTTTCAGTGCATTGTATTGGAGGCAGTTGCCATTGGCCTATGATCAAGCAGGACAGGCATGCACAGCACCATTCGCGCCTGCTTCCAGGTACGACGCAGCTTGTGCAACGTGCCTGCCTGCTAACCTAGTTGCCTAGGTAAGCTTACTAGGTAAGTAGGTAGGTAGGCAAGGTAGGCACCTATGTACTGTGCTCAGGTACATTGTCTCAATGACCCAGGCACTGTCCCTACCTAAGGTGCCTTGCCTAGGCACGTGGGTACGTACCTGGGCAAGGCCTATTGCAATAACGCTAACCCGACGGAGCCGAGACGGACCCTGCCATCAACAACGGTGGATCCCCATCTGGCGGCCCGTGCTCCTCCTCGACGCGCTTCATCTCCTGAGCTCTGCTGCCCTTTCTTTTTTTGGCGAGCATCCAAACAGTGGCCATATCCCTTTCTGGCCACGACTCTGTTCTGTGACCGGATCGTGTCGGCGAACGTTCTCCTCCTTGTCCTGAACTGGGGATACAGTTTACTTTCTCTCTCTCTCTCTCTCTCTTTCTCTCTCTTTGGACCCCGCGATCCTGTCATGACGCGACTTGTCTCGAGACACCCAGGTATCATGCACCTACCCACACTCTGATCACCGCTGCCACCCACCAAACGCACACCGACTCTTGCTCGACATTGCCTCGAATCGGCACCACCACCCACCTCCCCCAAGAGCTCCACCGACATGGACACACGACAGCATGAGACAGGCCCTTTGGCTACACGTACCAATGGACGCAGCTCTTTACCTCTCGTCATCAACAAAGGCGGCCGGAAGCCGCTCTTCCAGAAGCCCTCCCGAGAGAGTCTTGGTGGGGTCCCCTACACCAACGACACGAGACCCGGCATGGCCAGAAATGCATATTCCGATGGCCACGCCCTCGCCGTCGGCTCCATGATCCCCCGCCCCGGCTCGGTCTCTCCCTCACCATCCATCGCCTCGAACCACAGCGCCGACAGTGCATCGCGCATACCCCGACCAAGCTCCGCTGCCGGCGTCTTCTCCAAGGCGAGGGGGTCCATGTCCATTGCTGACGCCTACAAAATGGCCGAGGCCGAAGAACACCGCTTCGCATCGGCGCCGCGGACTCGACGCCTGTCGCCCCTGCCCATCGACGGCTCCCCGAGCCCTGCGCCTCGACCCCGCCACTCCCTGCCGGCCTCGGACGACGGCCGTCTGCGCAGGATGCTGAGCAAGGGGCCCCTCGATATCAAGAACGCACGCCCGCGACACGCCGACAGCGCCATCTCTGAAGACGAGGGCGGGCACTCGGCCGACAGCACCTCGAGCACTGGCAGTTTCGAACGCCGACTGAGCGCCTACGCCCAACAGCAGCAGCAGCAGCAGCAGCAGCGGCACTCGTCCATCTCGCCGAGTCGCCGGGCTAGTCTCTTCGGCAACTCGAGGATAGGACCCAAGATTGCCGAGACGGGCCAGACGCTGGCGAAGAAGACGAGCACCGGCAGCCTCAGCGGTACGAGCCCTCGACCAGCGGCATTTGCCAAGGGACACGTGCCCAAGGGCTGGGTGACGCATCTCTTGACCCGCGAGGAGCAGAAAGCCGCTGCCGTGAAAGAAGGGAAAACCTTCAAAGAGGATTCCGCCGACATACCCCTCCCCTCGGTCGAGGTTGAGGCCGACAAGCCCCAGGAACCCACACCGCCTTCTTCCCGACCCACATCCGCCATTGTCCCCAAGCTGGAGGGGCGTTCTCCCAACAAAGACTTTGCTTGGCAGATCGAGGACGACTTCACGGCCGGCGACCTGCAATTCTCGGACAGCCCGCGAATGAACCTGGACACTCTTACGGGGGATGTCGCCTCGCGCATGTTCGCCAATGATGCAGCCTTTGAGCGGAACCAAGACGTGGCTATAAATACCAAGCTCGACGACATCCGACAGCGCGAGCGCGAGGTCGAAGAGGCCTTTGCCGGACGGGAGGACGACCTGCCGAAGAACACCAAGCTAGACGAGATCAGAGAGCGCGAGAAGGCGTTCACGTCGAAGAAGGCTCTCGCTGCGAGTCGCCTGGATGACATACGCGAGTTCAACATGTCGAGATCACTCTCGCCCGAAGCGGCGCCCCGTCCCAACCGCCAGTCTGTCCAGGAGCCCTCGAGCAATAAGAGCCCGACCCACAGGCGCACCTTGTCCAAGGACGACGGCGAGCGTGTTCCCAACACACCTGTGACGGTTTACCGCAAGCCAAACGAACATGAGGAGGCCAAGACGACGAACGCTGAGCCGGCACCTGTGTTTCAGGAGGCGCCACAGCAGGTTGATGTACCGGAAACCTCGAGACCAGGTCTCGGTCACACGCGCTCGGATTCCCGGGATCTTCTGAGAAGACTGGCACGGGCAGCCAGTACCAGTCCAGCACCAGAAGCTCGTACAGAAGCCGGAGTAGAAGCTCATACTGAAGCTGCTGTGGAAGCTCGTATAGAAAAGCTAAAGCAGCAAGATTTCTGTTCAAGGCCAAATGACAAGAAATCTGCGGAGCCTCCAGTTCAACAGGCCTCTCATATTAAAAAGAATTCCAATCCTGCTGTCGCGCAATCAGCACCCTCTGCAAAGGAGGCAGAGGAGACAGTATCGAGAACAAAGTTAACCGAAACGACGAACGAGGCCCCGAGGAAGGCCGCGCATTCTCGTCACTCTAGCCTGGACGTCAGGAAGTCCCTCGCTTTCGATAGAGAAGCTGAAGAAGCGCACAGCCGCAACGCCTCGCGCTCGCGACGAAACAGCGCCGACTCGAAGAAAGCTCCTACGTCAGAAGGCCAAGACTCGGATAAGGCGAAGCCCTCGGTCAACTTTCTCGGGATCCGGCGAAACCGCTCCATCGACTCTAATAAGGGAAAGAGAACGAGCGTGGCCCTGTCTGACAATGACCCCACGGATCGAATCGAAGGCGAGATGAACCTGTTTGCGCCAACGGATAACCAGTCGGAGCGCGGTTCCGTCCGGGCCCCATCGATTGAACCGTCCAGCGAGGAGGACTCCGACGATGACCTGGTTGAGGAGACGCCACGACCTCTGCGACGAGACCCCTTGTCCATGCCGACGCCAAGGATCACGGGCGCATACGTCGAGACGCCTGCGCCGTTCAAAGTGGAAGAGAAGGAGACGGAAAAGGTTTCGGACCTCCTCAAAGAAATCCCCGAAATCACAGGCAACAAAGATAGAGCCCCTTCCCATCGAAAGTCCTCCGCTTCTTCGGCAGAGGCACCCAGGTCCAGGTCCAGGTCGAAGTCTTCTGGAAGTGTCCACGATACGCACGAACAAGCGCTCGACTACCCAACGTCGACGACGTCAACAATCCGTCAGAGAGCGCGGTCGCTGCCTAAGAATCGCCGCCCGCTGATAAACTCAGTGAAGCCGCCGACGGTCAAGGACGATCTGCGCGACATTCAGCGTACATACTCTCTTGAGGACTCAACACTCGACGATTTCGAAGAACTCTTTAAGCTTGGCAGGCTTGATAACGCACCCTCTCCCGAGATTGAATCCATCCTCAACGAGCTGTCAAGTCAGCGTGAGGAGCTCGCCAACAAACCAGTCATCAACGAGGCGGATCACAGCGAGCTGGAGCGGTACGACCGAATCACCAAGTCCCTCAAGAACGGGCTCCAGAACATTCACGCCGCCAAGCAAGGCATCGAACGTTTGGAGGACAATCTCGCCCACACTGACGTCCTCGATACCAAGAAGGAAGAGCATGAAGTGGACATCAAACCTTCTGCCCTGGCCTTGGCAGACTTCAAGGAGCAACGCTCGGCGGACAAGCCGTCTGACAAGCCGCCCACCAAGGTCGTTCCCAGTCATCAGCACTTGGACCACAGCGACACGTGCCCTGACTGTCTCTCCCATTCTATTCCTCGTGCCCCAGTCTCCTACGTCCACTTTCCCTTACCCCGGCTCTACCAAACCAACCCCTTCCGCCTCAGCCTCCTTGGTCTTCTTGTCACTCTCTTCTCGGTCTGGTATGCCGCCGAAACAGCAACATGCGCTCGTTACTGCCGTCCCGAATTCTGCTCTACCACACCTTGCATCTACGACGTCAACGACCCAACTTGGGGTACCGCCATTCCAGTCAAGCTCGACGCCGCCCTCACCAACGGCCGCGGCCGCCAGCTTTACGCCCATCTTGCCGAGGAGGCTTCTGACGCGTATCTCGACGCGTGGGACTGGATCAACGGTGTCGACATTCGTCATGTCAAGATGACGTCCCTCGATGCCTACGCGAGGATACAACACAGACGCCGTCTCCACAAACGCGGTCTTCTCAAAGCGTCCGTCGTGTCGCCGCAGCTGGAGCCCAAGTTTAGCATGTGGCACCAGACGCGGCTGGCTCTGGAGCGGGAGCGCGAGATGAGTGAGGCGGGCTACGTTGAGGAAGAGGAGATGGTCGGGGATGACGAGAGGCTTTACTAGCCCAGGCGGATGAGCGGAATCATTCAACGCCTTTTTCTTCTTGCACACTACATTCTTGCCAGCGTTTGGCATGACGAAGAAGCATGCATGCTTTTTTCTCTTTCTCTTCCCTGTACATTCTTCTCGGTTTACCCGCTGAAGGGCTCCAACATGACGACTTTTCATTTTCCTTACATGGGTGGCATGGCGAGCCGCCTCAGTTGACGCAGGGGCAGAAGGCCCAGTATCAAGATGGACGGAGGGAGTGCTGTGGAGCATCAAAAATTCTCATCGCACTGCGAAGCAGGCGTGGCGTTTACTTGTTTGATAAAGGACAGAGCACGGCTAGGGTGGGATTTGCACTGGGAATGAGGTAGTCAAACTAATTGAATTCGACTGCTCGTTGCTTGCAAATGGTCGTCAATCGTGAAGTATTCGGGCTGCTAAGGTTCCTCCAGTGTGTATGAAGCCAGCCAACTTTGGGCCCCTTGGGTGTACTGGGGACTCTTCGCCGTCATCATCGGCCCCGGAGATGTTCACTTCCCCCGAATAATGATTGCCGTATGCTCAACCGCGGCTCAGGAGCGTCGTCACTACGTCTCATGACCGGGGTTCTGCCGCTTCGTCTGCGAATCAGTTTTGCCGTGGTCGCGGACTTTCAGCCCCGGCCGACGCCAGCGTTACATCATCTCCAATCGGTATGCCCATCGCTTCCCCGATTTGCTTAAACAAGGCTTCTTCGTTCGTATCAACCCCTTCAGACCCCTGCATCGGCTCGTTCGCGGATGATGGGACGGGAGGAACGTGCCGTGGCTGGGGCAGAGCGGCGGCGCCGCGCCATCGTTCAGCACGGGCGCTATGCTCATCGCCTCGGGCCGGTCGTCCGGCGGCGGACCGTCGCCGGCACCAGTCGGCCGTGGAAGGAGTGAGAATCCGTCCGGTTCAAGGCTGCGCAAGTGGTCGTCGAAGTCGAGGAATGAATCGCTGTCACTCCAGCCGTCGGAAGACAGGTACGATCCAAACAGGTTTGTGTTGGCGGGCGCATCGCTGGGCGCATCCGTCATTGTGCGGGCGATTCGGTTGCCGCTTGCTATAACGAGGATGTTAGCCTTCATGGAAAGATGCGTCCTCAAGGACTCTCTAGTCGCGAATGCCGATGGTCTATCTCCGCTTTAGGAACTTACGTCGGGGTGTGTCACCCATCAGAGGTGTCTGCGCAGAACCCATGCTCAGCCCTGTGGAATATGTAGTTGAGAGATCAGGTACGCTTCGGGTTGGTGCTGAGCTCTCAAGCACAAACTCCTCAGACGCCCCGGTATATATTTCTCGCAGTCTGCGCTGCTCCCCCAGGCGGGTGTTCGCCTCTCTTGCTCCAAAATCCTGAGGCTCATCTTTGCGCTTCCCTGGTTCATCAACAAAGCTGGAGTGTTGCTCGGAAGAAGGGGCTGAGGTCTTCGCCTCCTGCAGGCCTCCTCGGGCATGGTCGAGACACAGGCCATTGGCGTCATTATTATCAGCCTTTCCATTCAAGCACACAGGCATAGCGCAGCAGTGTGTCAGACAGTATCCGCCAACGTGTCGGGCGACAGGTGCGAAGCATTCTGGAAGAAGGCACTTGTGGTAAATGCAGAATGGGCTTCTAAGAGTCTGGATACCACAGCCCTCTTTGGCGCATATAGCTATTGGCCGTGAATCATGCCACACTGTTGTTTGGCTGGGCGAGACAAGCGTCTCGTCCTCTTGCTCAGGGAGGTATGCTTGCTTTGGGTCGTATGGCAGCCCATGTTGTAATGAGGGGGGTGTTTCTAGCTTTCTCGTGTCTCGGCCATAGCCCTCGAAAGGAGAAAATGTGATCTCATCATCCTCGGAGGGGAACACTGCAGGGGCAATTATTGCACCAGGTCTCTCGCCTTGATTGAAGCCTTCAATGCCGCCGGCTTGAGTCTCTGCGGCCACTGGCCTTGGTACGGCTGTACTCCCACCCGTGGGCCTTTTCCATATGCTGCTTGCAGTTGGACTCGCGTTTTGACTTGTAGGGGCAGGGTGGGAATTGGCACTGGTACACGGGAGGCGCAGAGCCATGCTTGTCGTCAACGTGGCGGCTCAGTTCCTTCTCTGTGGCCCAGCCGTCCTTGTGGTACTTGCAACTTGAATCGGGGCACTTCCAAGGACGGGCTTGAGTCTCCTCTCTAGGGGAGTCCATGAGCTGCGACGGTCCGCTCTCCTTATCACCGTGTACACGGCGTAAGTGGTCCCGCAGGTTCCATGCGCGAGGGAACCCATTCCCAACGAGGGAGCGATCGCAGCCCTCGTAGGAACACCGGAAGGGCCTAGCACCGACATTATGCTTATTGTGCACTACGCGCTCGTGTCTCAGAAGGTCCGCTAGTGAGGAGAAACGAAGCACCTCGCAGGTTGGGGCCTTGCATCGGTAAGGTATTAAGTGGGCATCGATATAGCTGCTAATGGTACATATTTGGATTAGTAAGGGGAAACACTTTTGGATGGAGGAACACGACTCACTGGTAGTTCACCTTGTACAAGGTTGGCTCATGATCGCATGACGCCTGATCTTCCCACGGGCAGTGATATGACCCGTCAGGCCCGGGAGTAGCATTTTTGTAGAGAGAGTGGTCTTTGATGATTTCTCCACCATGCCGTGTTTCCGTGTCCGAATGAAGCTTTTTGAAACTGGCAATGACCTGCTCTGTCTGGGTTGGAGAGATCCCCAAAAATCCGAGGTTAGATTCAGTTTGTTCCGGATTATCGTCCTTGTGTTCGGGGTGCTGATTCTGTGCGTTAATCGAATATGCCCTTGGTATGGCATGTGGCACTTCCGGTACCAACATGCGCCGTTGCTCCAGATCTTGACTCAACAGGCGGGTTTCTTCAATGAGCAGATTACCATCGTCACTATGCGAAGCCCGAATGTGCCTGAGGAGCTCACCCCGTGTCTTGAACCCATCTGCTCCCTGACGATGTACACACAATCGGCAAGAGAAATTCGGATTACCTGTTGCGACATGAGCTTGGCGCGATCTCTCAGACGCCCCCACCAACGGTGTTTCCCTCTCAAGTTGCTGTCCATGAGAACTCTGGTGTCTTTGATTCAAGGCTTCTATTCCGTTGTTTCCATCAGTTATGCTAGAGCCACCTGTTCCGTGGGCAGCGGGAGGTTCTTGTCCAAAGGCTGGTGGCAAGAATGCATCGTCAGACTTGAATTCTTTGTTTGCGAGCTTCCCTGCAGTAGATCGATCTTGACTTTTCGACATCGATGCAACAGCCTCCAATGTTTCTCTGGCTTTGCCGCGAATGTCTATAGTGTCGATCCAGTCTTCCAACGCCAGTCTGAGTTGCGCACCTTCGTCGGCATCGTACGCCTGAGCCTGCAATCCCTTCTTAGGAGCACCTTGTCTGAAGTGAAATTGATGGAGGTGGTTGACGGCTCCGCTGAACCATCGCCATTTCCTACCATCTCGACAATCTGCACAGGTTGCCAAGGGCACAACAGGCTCGACGGTGGTTTGGACGCCGACACTGGCTGGGTCGCGACAAACAAACCTCAAGAACCGTCTTGAGTGGTGAGTCTCAGGAAGATCGGGCCGGCTAACCATGCTCTCATCTTCTTGGTCGAGTGGAGTTGACTTATCCCCTTTTTCAGCATCGTCAGGACTCCTTCTTCTCGTGATATCTGGGACTTGACCGAAGGACTCTCCCCGGGTTTCCAAAGTACCATCTTTATGCACTGCTCTTCTTCTGGTCGGGGGTTCAGCAACTGAGTCGCTGTCACTAGACCCCTCTTCGGTATGTGACGAGTTCTCCTCCGACTCGGCCGAGGGGGGAAGAGCTGCCAGAGAAATCTCTTCTAAGTGTGCGGCCAGATGAGCGATGACTTTGAGCTTGTCCTCTGGCATCTTCTCGTGGCAGAGGGGGCAGTTGATGGACTCCGAGGATACCTCAAAGTCGTGATGTTGAGCAAGGTGGTTCACCCATTCCCGGCGATTGGGGAAAGGCTTATCTCCATACGCACAAGACATGTCGTGGCAGACCCAGGGTTTCAAATCCAGGTAGAGGTGCTTCCTGTGTCATGATAAGCATTGAATCTGCAGATGTTTCCCGGCACAAGGTGGCAGCATACTTCCAAGCAGAGTTGCTCCTAATAGAGATCGTCCGGTTACAGGCCATGCACTCGAAAAAAATGCCGAGTTTCGCTCCGGCTGGCAGAGGGGGAATGCGGACAGAATGGCTTTCGTTCTGGCGATAGGACATTGTCGTTTCGGCATAAGAGCTCGCCGTCCGGACCGAAGAGCCTAAGCCTGAATCGTTGAACTTCGTACTGCCTTCTGTGCGACTGACTTGGTCAGCTTCGACAACACTGGAGACCGTACATTGTTCAGGCTCTTGCTCAGTCAAGACGTTCCGTCGTCGCTCGATCTGTGTCCTCTGAAATCGGGTCAGGTTAGCCCGTGCGAGCCTGTCCACGAGCTCGCCATGAGCCAGTGGAAACCGATACGCAATCCGATCTGAGTACAGCTGGTGGGGGCTCCAGGATATCTCAACCGATGGATTCACGTGCTCCTCTGGTTGAATTTGATCTGCTGCAGGCGCCTTAATGATGGGGTCAAGGTCGAGGAGGCAACGGACCGCGTTGGCAATGTCTTCCATTGCATCGTCGAGCCCGTTCATTTCCTCCCCAGATGAAAAACAACTGCTGCTGCTGCTGCTTTCATCTTTTGCATCGGGCGAGGCCTGATTGCGACGACGTCGATCCTCCGACAACGCCGCTGAGGCGTCCGCAGTCGCAGCTCTCAGAGAAGATACGTCTACGCAAGCATCATCTCCCAATCCCAGCCTTGGTATGAGTTCTGCTTTTGGTCAGTAGAGCCAGATCAACCGGCCGATTGTCCACCACATACCCTCTGAAACAGCTTTGCCAACGCTCACCAACAACTCAGAGATCGATCGTCGCAACGACCGTGACTTGGCAAGGGCATCGTCGAGCTCACCCTCACGCACACCATACCCTGCCGCCCATAGCGTAAGAGAACCACAGCTCTTGTCCAGGCGATGCGACAGAGAGCGCGGAAGGTCCTTGCGAGATTTCACATGTCGAAGGACGCTCCTGAATGCTCTTACAACCTCGATGCAAAGCCGGCTCGTCACGCTCTTGGAATCCGAGAAGGCGGCGCTGATGTCCCATTCGTCGACGCGCGAGAGGTCAAGGTTCTCCTTCTGTCGTGACAGAGGTTTGGCATGTCGTGTTTTCGCCTCATGCGGAGGCATGATTCTCGTCTGCAATGCCGCCGCCGAACGAAATTTTGTAGTTGGGAAGTGCTAAGATCTGAGTAGACATCGCAAAGCTGCTGAAGCGACCTTCATTCAGAGTGCCTGGAAGGAGAAGCGCCCAACCGTCAGCGACCTTGAGGCAGTGCCACGAATGATGCTGGCAAATCACAGGTCATCTCTCGATGCATAATGGATGACCTGCAGCTGTACGCGCAACCAGCCCGAGCAGGGGTGGTTCGGGCTGTGTGCTGCACTGCTGCGCAGGGGCTGTGAATGAGGGCCTCCTACAGGGGCCGACTAGGCACAGCCTTGGCAGCCCTGGAAAAGATCATATTCGCGGTCTACCCACCAGCTCTGTTGTCGTGTATGTGATCTCTCTAAGCTGTCGCGAAAGCAGAAAAGACCGACAGGCTCGACTGGTCAGAAGTGCGACAGTATGGCCGAACTGGCACTCGGCATTGTACCACTCGTGGGCCTCGTCATCACTTCATATAAGGCTGTCGCGATAAACCTGAAGACATACCGACATTATTCGAAGAAGATCAAACGTTTTCAGGTCGCACTTTCAGTTCAACGCAGTGTCTTTGAGAACGAGTGCCACTTGTTGCTCCGACTCGTCCTGCCAAATGATGATGCGATTGACGAGATGATGGCTGATCCTGGCCACGAAAGATGGACTGATCCTAGCCTCGACGACGCGATCGCCCGATGGTTGGGCAAAAATCTAGAAGCATACAAAGGAAGCGTGGAAGCCTGCCATGAGGCGCTGTGCGAGCTCGAAGAGCAGCTGCGAGGCTTTGACGTAGTCCATGGGCTACAGCAGAAGGTCAGTCTGTGGCATGCCCCTCTCCTGTACTTCGCCATCTAAAAGTCATTTCACAGGGAGAACGTATGAAAGATACGCTCCGGAGACTCCGTAGGGTCCAAGACGGTGTCAAAGTGGTGATTAATGAGAAAAATTACATTTCAGCCCTCGATGAGTTAAAGCAATCCACAGAGGGCCTCACAGCTATGAGGGAGCAGATCGCTGAGCTCGACAAACTCAAGACAGCCATCCAGATCAAAACCAAGTGTCCTCCAGCAGGTGAATGGGCGAGGCTATTGAGGATACGGCGAGCCTCAAAAGCTCTCCACGATGCACTGGCTGGAGCCTGGAATTGCAGCCAGGAGGGACATATGAGGCATCTCGTCAAACTTTTCATCGAGACAGACCTGGTCGATGACGAAATTCAGATGGACATCGCCATTGTCTGCCACACGCAAGTCAGGAATACTCTATATGCGACATTGGTCGAGCTCGAAGTACGCTCCCAAAACCTCGAATGGATCGAATCGCCCCAAATCCCGGCCATGATGCCCCCTGCCGATGGTGAGGTACAACGACCTTCGAAACGACTCAAAACCGTCAAGGTCACTGAGACAACTGTCACATCATCGTCTCCTTGCCTCGGGTCACCCAAAGGAGCTTTTCGTCGGTCTAAGAAAGCCACCTGTCGAAGCTCGTGTGATCTTCGTGCTTCGAAAGACGTCTGCATGGAGTTGACCAGCAAATCACCGCCTGCATCAGGCCAAGACTCTTCAGGATGCCTCGGCCATCTTGACATCGAGTCAGAGGCAGGGTACCGCCATTCGTTTTACCCAGGATTTCAGCAGTCCATCTGTAGGAAAGCGAATCGGGACCCAGTCCCGATAAGCCAGGTATTTGAACCAACGGCCGCTGAGTATGTGACCATGTTGGATCGCCTCAAACTTGCTCGGTCTCTTGTCTCAGCCGTCCTCAAGTTTCACTCAACTCCGTGGCTGCGCGACATGTGGCAATTACAAGATCTCTCCATCTTTCCGACTGATAACGATGATCTGGCAAGGTCGTTGAACACACTTCATGTCGGTGTGGGGTTCGCTCAGGGACACGCCCAGCGACAAGCAGCTGAGTCGATGGAAGGCGTGCTATGTCCAGAAGACCCCGCCGCAGGCCAAGTTGGAGAGTACGAAAGGCTTCTCTGCGGTATCGACAACATGGCACTACATAGCCTTGGTGTCGCCTTGCTGCAGATCGATCGCTGGGTGAGGCTAGACGTCGAGACGCTGGAAGATATCGTTAATATCCGCAAACTGGCCAGTGGGCGCTTCGCTTTGGGGCCACAATACGGCGAAATCACCCGGAAGTGTCTGCGGTGTGATTTTGGATACGGTGACGATCTTTCAAAACCGCGGTTGCAAGAGGCAGTTTATGGGAGCCTGGTCGGCGTTTTGGAGAAGATGATCTCGTCCTTGGACTTGAATGACGATGTAGATGAATCATGATGTTTTGTCTGCTGATACCACTATTCATTTCAAGATCATTTATATTTACCTTTGAACCGTGAAAGACCTCCCTCCGCGATTATCTGATACCTGCTCATGATCAAGGTTTCGAACCTGCCGCTCTTCTTGACCACGAGCCACATCTGTCAACAATGGGTCGTGAGACTCGGTAGGCGTAAGCCCCGGGAATAGATTGCTTTCGGTGGCAATTCGGATCCGGTGGTTGTCTGCGTGGCTGACCCGGATAGCCATGTTGGCCCTTTTAGACTTATAGTGACCTGCTTCGCCAATGGATACGTCAGGCGCATATGTTATAAAGTGGTTCGACAACTTTGGTTCACCTGTGATCGTCTAGCGACAGCGTGTCATTGCAGGTGCGAACTCGAGCTTTCAACCGGCCAGGCTATTCGCACTGCATCGTGGAGGGTACGCACCCCGCTCGGTACCGACTGCAAGCTTCATTGTCGGAGGGCAGATGCGCTGGCGGTGAAATGGATATAGTATCTGTGGCCAAAACAAAATCTTTCCCAGCGGAACATTTGGTAGGCTTCCGACGCCACCGTCCCATCCTTTAAGGCCATCAGCTGGGCCTACACCTTGAATGATTCTTCCAGTGAGCAGGCTGGCTCAGAGTTGACGACATTGACGCGATGTCACGATAATTTGGAGGCGTCTAACCGCATACACGGTCGATTTATCTCTCCCATCTAGTGCTTGACGAACCGGAAGCTTCTCATCTGTTATTGTTACCTTTTCTGCGTAGCATTACGCTGCTTAAAGACCCTGGGCAAGTTGCGGCTGAAGCGCCCATGGTAGGCTGAGGGTCCAACGTTGCAAATATCCGCTGCCCGGACCGGTGGCCAACATTCGGCTGCAACACATGATGTTTTCGTGGGTTTGTTGCCAGAATGGGATCTGTCCGCTTCGGAAGCAACCTCGTCTCCCGAAAGTAGTTGCTCAGGGCGGAGGCAGCTCTGGTAGCACCGTGCCTAGAACGAAAGATACCGTTACCTGACTGACTTTGGCATGGTAGCGTGAGGGGATCGTGAGTGCCACAGTCTGGATAATGACATTTCAATCTAAATGGCTCCTATTTTTGATTTCTTGCTACCTCTATCAGACTCTCTTGGCAACCAAAGAAGCGCCAACATTTGGGATCTCGATCAGGCGAAAGAGCTTATGCTAACGGCATACTGAGAGCTATGAAGGCCGAGGACGAAGCTATATAAATTGAGGAACCAGCTCCATCTTTCTGAATGGTATTCAGGCTTCCAGGCTCTCGCCATTTCAGAGTCAAGCATCCGCCATGCGTGTTTTCTCGCTGGCCCTGGTCAGCCTTGGGGCCTTTGGCAGTGCCGCCCCGACTCGGGTTGAGCCCCAGGCGGTGGAGGCCAGGCAATACGGACTCGGCCCTCCGACGGTGACGTTGATTCCCGGCAAACCATCCCTTCCGATATTCTGGCCGGCGCCTTCGACACCTACCACCATCCTCAAGCCGGGTAAGAGAGAAGAGTCTGCCCCGATTAAAAAAGCCCCGGAGAGGCGCACCGAGGACATTGAGCTCAAGGCTCTTCATGATGCCTACTACGTGCTCCTGAAGCCCTACGACGAGAACAATCACCCTTCCTTCGGCGTATACCTCATTCTTCTCCATCTTGCCGACATTCTCTCCTCGAAGGGTATCACCGTTGATACATTCATCCTAGGCGAAGCCAAGACCACCTTTGGCATCTCATCAAAGCGGCAGGTCTTCACCATCGGTGGATGCCGTCCTCAGGATGTTATCGGTCTGCGAGCCACCCTGACAAGCCTGCTCATCATCTACGGCCCTCAACCCCCGTACGAGATCTGGAACCTCGAGCAAGCCATCATCGCTGCCCTCATTGCCTGCGGTGAGAAGGTTGAAGCTGGGCCCATCGTTCCTGAGGTGCCCGTCCCAGGCGGCCCGATCAAGCCTGAAGTTCCGGTGCCCGGTGGTCCTATTGTACCCGAGAATCCTGTGCCTGGCGGGCCTCTTGTGCCTGAGCAGCCGGTGCCTGGTGGTCCCATCAAGCCCAGTAACTGAGCAGGGTCAGAGGAGCTGGAGTAAGGTGAGACAGGGAGAGATGTTGTCGAGAGACTGAGGAGAAAATGGACGAGATTTTCTTTGTTTTCGATTCTTTTCTTTCCTTTCATCCAGTTTCCTTTCATACTCAAAAGCAAAAGGCTTGATTGACTTGTGAACTGAGGCCCCTTCCTCGTGATGACCTGCAACCTGGATACCTACAGCCAGCCTCCTTAGCCCGGTCAACCTTTGAGGTTTTGCCCATGATCTGTGACTAGATGCGGTCAGCCACATGCATGTTCTCGAGCGCCCTGACGCCCTTGGGTGATACTTCTCTCGTAGGTCATCTCATTAGATACGCTTTGATTTCATGTGGCCGACGACGAGGACCCGTATTGGGTTTCTGCCACCACAAGTCGGACCTGGGTCGCACAGTTCCAAGGCTGCTCAGCCGGAAGTCGCAGATCAGCAGTGAAAGTTCGCAGAGTCCACCTCCAAATCTTACCGAGGGGCAACTGAAGTTCCGAGGCTTCAAACTATCATGCCAGCCGACTTCCTGTCCAAACTTCGATTCACTTTCTGATGATCGCTGCCGGCCGGTCTTCTCCAAAGCTCACTGCACGTAGAGCCGCCTCACAATCTGATGCAGTCTACCAACCCGCCGAGGAAGCAGCCGGTCCCCGACGCTTGCAGACTCTGGGATACGTCCTAGGAGCCGACCAGATCGACAAACTCAGAGTATCACAAATTATCAGCAATTCTAAGGCAAGTCACCCCAACAAGGGCCATGTCCCTCAGGCCAGCTCTTCCCAAAGATCATCGACTGGCCTACCATAACCCCATCACCGTGACAGACTGGCCTCGTGTCTCGGGATTCGGGAAAGGGATCAGATGGCCAGCCATGGCGGCCACTGTGTCATCGAGCCATCAAGTCCGTCGAAGCCCGTCGGAAGCACCCGCAGCCATAGCGCCTCCCCCGGATTCTCAGAGTTTGCGTGGCGCAGCAGCTATTCCAAAGCACCAACCACCATGACGCCAGTCGGGTCGGGGGGTGGGCATATCGCCCGGCCACGAGTCATCGTGAACTCAATCTCCACTCACGGGCCCCCCTCCAGTGCGAGTGCCAAGGCGAGTTTCGTGCGCCTCGACCAAACCTTCGCAAGGTGTCAAGACCGACGGCGGTGGGTGAGCACGATTGCCCCCTATTCGGCTTTCGATGGTGACATTTTGTGACGGTCATGGCTGCAGATGCTCAAACAGGCTCTGGCGCGTGCTCGTTATTTTCCCTTGCATATCGGCAACTCGAAGCACATTGATGACTAGGTTGGCCGGCATCTCACGTATCCCGACAATCGAGATAGTCATCAAATCCATCGGGGCCCTCCGACACGAGGTCTATCCAGCGCCGAGGAAGAGGCATACGAGACCAACAAGTAGCCTGGAACCATCAGCCGCTCCCCGAAACCGTGCGGCCACGCGTAAGACGCGTCTGCTGCTGAAGTAGTAAGCCGAGGCAGCGAGAGCCCGCTGGGCAATGCAAACTAGCATAGGCGCGCCGTCAGGGCCAGGCGTCCAGAGTTATCCCCGTCCGCAATGGCCGGCCAGCCGAGAAGTGTCTGACGGCACGGCCAAGTGGGCGCCAGCGGCGTCAGCCTCGGGACCGTCACGGCCACCGTCTCGAACTCAAGGAGGATAGACCGACGATCCCCAGCCTCTCTCTCCTGAGAGTCCCTCACAACTAGGAGTTATTTGTGGCAAGCGTCCAGCTACCTAAGATCAGTGAGGCACCACATAGGGTGTGGCTGGGACCCGGCCGCTCAGATAAATGTCAGAGGCTGACGGCCTCTGAGGATAGACGGCAACCCGAAACTCTGGTTGTGTGGGGCTCGGAAACCGTCTATCTGGACAGATGCCTTGACGCCAAAGTTGGTTCGGGAAACAGAAAGACTGGCGTCGTGGGCGGCTTCTCCCCGGACGAGGTGGTGGCATCGGGTCAGCACACATAGACCGATGTCACGCCGTAGCCTTCCTCGACAAACTTGAGACTGTGATGAGCCGCCAGCGCGTGATGATGAAAATGCAAAAGGCAGGCCCAAACATGAAGTCGATCTCGAATGATGGTCGCCATGTCAGAAGAACGCTAGTCAGCCCATGGCTTTCTCTGAATCAATGGCGGTTGGCACTACTGCAGCCATGGGAGCAGGCCAGTAGCGCGCTCGTCACACCACTCGGCGCACGAGGAATAGAGGCTTGAGAAGGTGGAGGAGGCTCGGTTTGCAAGCATCAAGCGGTGCAGAGGAGGGGTGTTCGATGCTGCGGTCAGGGGAGCTTCCCCGCGCGACCTCGAGCAACCGTGATCGCTGGACGAGATAGCGCGGCGCCCGCAGACGACAGCCACCCTGACGTGGCAGCACTCGTGGACATGACACTACGGTACCTTGGCTACCTCCTGGCCCTCAGCTCGAAGCCACTAGTAACGACTGGTGGAGGGTTTGGCACGGCGGGCAGTGGTTCAGACGGCATGCGGCATCCTGGGGGGAAATGGCTTCGCCCGGATGCGCCTGAGCGCCGGTGCTTTCACGGAGTGGCAAATCTTGCCTGCCGACTCCGGGTTGTCAGAGCATTGTCGGCAGATCGGGATGTTGGATGTCCATCGTCATCTCGGACCAGCCACACCACCTGTCAAGCCGTTCGCAGACCAGGGTTGCCAAATCTTAGGGCCATAGAGGACGTCCCAGAGATGAAATCTACGAGGTCCGTGGTCAGCTAAGTTTTCCAAGTCGTGGCTCGGACAGTGGGATTTTTTTGCTCAGCAGTACGGCAAGCAAGTCCAGACCCATGGAGCGGTTGGCGATCTGGTCCAGCAAGCGGCGGGGCATGTCACTAGCACTTGATTTTCGTAATGTAGAAATTATTCAAGACCACCAAATCGCAGATCGCAGGACTTGGCAGGCTCGGGAGCGGGTTTCTGCGGTCAAGGCGGTCGCTGCCGTTCAGCAGCCCATCGAGACGGCAAGCAGGCAAGGATGGTCACTGCGAGGACGGCTTTGGAGTCATGTTTTGCTGACTCTGGTCTAAAACTCCGCGCCAGATGAGCCTGGGAAGGAGATCTGGGTCGGTAAGTAGTGGCATCTCGGCTCACGTGGATGGTGGTTGGTGAGCTGTTTCGACGAGTCCCAAACCAACTGCCGGAGGACCGTGATGAGCCCATGTGTCTGCAAGCCCAGGAGCGCCATCCAGGCTAGGCATTAGACACCCTGAATTGCTGCAAGCATCCAGAGGCGTCGAGCAAGTCGCATGGTCGTTCAGTGTCCTCCTCAAGCAAGGCAAGGGATGAGAAGTGAGCAGATCGTTGGACACGCCCGTCAAGTTTCGGCAGCAGGCAACACGAAAGGGCCCTTCCAGACCACGAAGGCGCCTCCACCAGCACCTCACAAAGGGCCAGTCGTGGGTAGAGGTTGCACGGTCGAGAAAGGCGCTACGAGGTAAGAGTGGACGGGGTTGCACTCACACCGCCAGCCGGTTGCGTCTGTTGGCTTTCTTGGGTCTTAGATTCTTGGGTGGACGCACTGCTCGAGCAAGGCATCACCCAATGATCGCCATAGGACGCACTAGGCAGTCGAGAGGGGGCGTTCAATCGTCCAGGCGGGCTTCTAGCCAGACGCGAGCTCGCCTAGAAGGGCAAGGCTAGCAGGGACGAAAGTAAGCAGGCGGACGAACCACTCAAGCGGAGGAGGGGAGGAGAGGGGACGTGGCGTCAAAGGGGAAGATCATCAGCAGGCCTGCCAAGAGGTGAAAAAAAAGGAACGAGAAGGAGAGCCAAGCCAAAGGCCACGCGCGTTGCATCGACCCACCACCATCCATCGCTCCCGGCGCCCGATTTCTCTCTCTCTCTCTCTCTCTCTCTGTCTCTCTTTGGGAGACCATACCTCTCTGGCCAATCTATTGGACGCCGCCAGTGAACACCCAACGGCGTCGAGTCGCTAGCCCGCTCGCTTGCTCGCCTGGTCGCCCACCTGGGGTCGACATGGTACAGGCGACCCAGGCTGGCGAGTCGCGTTCGCCCCGACTCGCAGGGCTACTGCGGAGCTACTGCGTCGGGCCAGCCGGTGGTCCTGCGCGCAGGCGTTGCCAAGCATCGTTGGACTGCGACCGGCGACGGGGAGGGCGGTGATCATTGTTCGACTCGTGGGTCTGGTGACGTCTTGGCCTTTCGTGGGGCGCGGTCCGACCGGGGTGGGCAGAGAAGAAATAGAGTGAGCTACTCCGTTAGTGAGTATAGGAGATGGGATTTCGAGATGCTAAGGAACCGCGGCTGGGAGGGAAGTGAAGCCGAGCGATGGATTGGGTGGAAGGATGGTTGGATCGCCCTGACCAGTACGATCAGGAGGAAGAGGGGCTTGCGATGGGATGCGAGGAGCAGCAGCAGCAGCCAGGCGTGACGGCAGCATGAGGATTTGCATCCTTCGATCCCTTTCGACGTCAGCCCTCCCAAGTCACCAACCACCAACCACCTCGCTGCCGACGCAGCCATCTGCAGCGCGACCGAATGTCATTAGCTTCGTCCTGCAAGTGACATGCGGGCAGTTGGCTGGCAGGTCTTGTCAACCGGGTGCTCTTGTTTCTCAGTTGTCTGCGTTCAATCTCTCTGCCGTGTGGGTGCAGCAACCCAACCACACACTGCCGCCGCCGTCCCCCCTTGGATGCTCGCGAGACGCCCGGTAGGGAAGAAGCACATGCACATCCGCCTCGCCAATACTCAATACTGCCTCTCTTGTGTCAGCGAGCGATCATCGTCGCACAGGCCATGCACCCCTTCCTCTCCGAACGGGGGGGTGAAGCCGCCTGGTCTCGATACCGCCGCCCAACCAGACAGGGCCATCGCTGCCACACCCGTCCGCCCGTTGCCGTGTCTGTCTCTCACTGTTGCCTCACTTATCACTTGACAAAAATGCATAGCGAGGAGACACACAAAAGAGACAGAGAGAGGAGAGAGACACACACACACGCAAGGCAGGGCGGGAGAAGGGGGCCCGGTGTCGCTGCGCCCACCCTGTCCATCCCCTCTCCCCCTAAACCGCCTCCTGCACCCAGCCGTCTGCCGCACCCGAAAGCAAAGACTACAGGGGAAGAAAAAAAAAACAGGGCGGACGAGGGCGCAAATGATGTGCGTGCTCGCTCGGGAGGCACCCTCTTCCCTGACAGCAACCCAATCAGCCTGTCCTGCTACTGCTTTGCTGGCGTCAATCTTGTGCCCTCCCCCGTCGGGTTGTGTGATGGATGACTCGACAGACTACAAGTCACAAAAGCAGCGTGATGAAGAGAATGGGGCTGCTTTCGGTATGGCTGGTGAGAAGGGCTGAAGACTTGCTTCACACACACTTGGGCGCAGTAGCTCCAGGCTTGTGACGGGAAAGCCATACCACTTTCTGGAAAAAAAGCCCAGTTATGACCAAGCGTGCGTGCGCTTGTTCAGTCCGTCGCCCAGTCGCCCTTGTCTCGATGCGCCTACTCCCGCTCACGGGCGGTGATTCGGTGTTACCGTCATCAAGCTGTGGTGGTGTGAGTGAGGTGTTCTTGTCTCGGGACCAACGGCCGTGCTCTGTCATGCCCCGCTGGAGGTTGGGGTCGAAGGCTGGCTGTCGTCGGCCGGCTGTTGTACGTAGTCTGTCGTAGGTAGGTATGTTGTCTGTGGAGGGCTGTGCCCAGAGGTGCCTCTACAGCATATCACACGCAGCACCAGCGAGCAGCGCCTCCGGGCCCGGCTCCCACCCATTCTGTGCTCTTGCGCTGGGCTGACGCGTTAATTTCGTTCCTGTCCCTCCCCCCCTGGCTCCCCCCCTTCTGCCATCAGCGCACCTTTTGCAGTTGCAGCGGGCTTGCAGCAGGCTGCCGGCGTTGTCGAGTTGTATTCCGGCGGCGGTGACGGGCTCGTGATTGGGGTCCATGGCAGGGCGCTGGTTCAGTGGGTGTATCCGGCCCCTGTTCTGACAGCATGGGAACGGTGGTCTTTACCAGTCGGTGGCAAGGGTGGGCAGGCCTCTCATAGATCGATGGTAGCATTCAGGGACCAAAGTTATTCGAAGGCTGCTGCTCATGGCATCCATGACTGCTGTGTTTTGAAAAGCGACGCTTGACTTGTCATTTCCGTCCTGTCATTTTCGTCCTGTTAGACACGTTCATCACAATCACAGTGATTCGTACGATATTGGAGATGACGAGCGTCTGGGCTCAAGAATTCTTCTCTACGTGGTATCTTCCATCAAGGCCTACCCGCTCTGCCAACCACACCAGCCCGGCAGGCGCATTCCCCCTCAAATGTCCACCGTCGCCCGTTTTCAGGCACGATCAAAATGTGAACCTGTAAACAGTCTTTCATGTCTCTGATGAAAATGTTGTCTCCCGCTCTAGGTCTGTTGATCAAAACCAAAAGCGAGCACCATTGCGTTCCGAGAAACCCGCGTGACAAGAGAAGAACCTCCTCCATAAAAAAAACATGTCGGACCATCTCGGTCGACGAAGGCGCCTCCCCACCTCCTGTGAAAGCACAAGGGAGATCAAAACAGAATGTCAAAAAAACGCCTACTGCGCCTTTCCCTTTCGCTTTCGTTTCATTTGTTTGGTTGGCCGTTAACATCCCGTGGCCGAATCTTTCCGGAAGAGATGTCCAAACTCCGCGCTGACAAGATACACCGATAAAAAAAAGAATACAAT